CTGCTTGCGCCTGTTTTACCCCGCGCGCTGCATGCGCCTGTTCTTCCCCCGCGCGCGGCTTGCAACAGCAGCGGAATCAGCACTTCCGCGCGTTAACTCGCGCATGGCCTCGGGAGTCTGCTGAGCGGGAGACATGGAGCGGCGGATGCGGGGCGGAAGGGAGGGAAGAAGGCAATAAAAGGGAATGGAAAGAGTACAAAGAAATATACTCAAACGGTAATTAAGCCGCCAGCGCGCAAGCACTGCCTGCAAAGTGGATCCCAGCCAGCCACTACCTGCCTTGGTCCCCGACCTGCCTGCCTTGGTCCTCGACCCAAGAGCCCCAATCATGAGACTAACCACAAAAAATATTTTTGAGTCGACTCAAAAGGTGATTTTTTTTTTTTCTTTTTCTTTTTTTTTCTTGAGTCGACTAAAAAAATGACCAAAGAGCCCCCAATCATGAGGCAAACCACGAAACATTTTTATTGAACGTGCCGGAAATAATGAAGAGTCACGCACAGTCATCTGCGACTTGAGAACGGTCGTGCAGGCGAACCGCTCGCTTGTTAGATTGGAGTCATCTATGAGGAAAAAAAAAAAAGCATGAGGCAAACCAGAAAGTTAACGAAGCAAGTCGTAACGCACAGTTATTTGCGACTTGAGAGCGGTCTTGCAGGCGAACCGCTCGCCGGTTCGCCGGTCTTCGCAGAGCCGCACCACGCCGAAATGGCCTCGCCCCAGCTCCGTCCCGAGCCTGAACCGAGCCTCCAGGCTCGGCTCTTCACCCCCTCCTCCGCTACCGCCGCCACGATTCCCCGCACAGTGGCCGTCGCCGCCGAATGCGGCGAGGGAACCGATGCCGCCGTATTCCACGCCGCATTCGGCGGCGCCAGCCCGCCAATGGCGGCGTGCCTCGCGGAGTAGATCGTACACGTGGGAGCGTACGGCGGATCCGTCATCCAAGGCTGGCTCCAGGGGCAGGGCGGGAGCGGCTTGAGCGCTGACGTGGACGATGCCGCCGAACACGTGGCATGATGGACCTGGCTGACATGGCTGTACTTTATTGCTGCGCTCGATTTTGTCACAGTCGTTTTGATCACGCGAAGGTACTTCGTCCACGGCCTGACTGTCTTCTCCATAGCTTTGGGCGCATCGACTGGGTTGACAGGGTTGACTGGGCTCACCGCGTTGACCGGGTTTCGGGGGTTGACCGGTCGATCCGGCTGGCCGCCTGTCTGCGGCGGCGTCGGGCGCAGCCATTTCATGTCGCGGCGGGAGCGAAAGACATTATAGGACTACGCGGACAGCCTGGCGGCTACTACAGCGCCTAAGCCTTGTGTGGAATGTCGTATCGAGAGCAAATCGACGGTCTAGCCTATACGGCAAATCTACTGCCTGACAGCAGCAGAAGCCGCTACAAGCAGAAGCCGCCGCAGTACGGCGCGCACATGTCACCGATCCGTGTAGGTGAATGTGGAGGGAGAGGAGGGGAAAGGGCGGGGAGGGCGGGACGGCGGAGAGGGCGGGGAAGGGAGGGGGGGGAGGAAGAGGGAGTGGGAGGGGAGAGGAGCGGCGGGCTTCCTAGAATCACGCGAGGCGTTCTCGCTGCGAGGGGGACTTTCGCGATGCAGGGCGGAGAGATGCCTTCGTACTCCTTGTGTCATGGAGTCCTAATGGCGCTAGGTGATGCGTTGGGAGGAGAGCCATGGCTGGAAGGACTTTTTTATCCTAGCAGGTGCTGTAGCACTAGGCGACTTTTCAGCACCTGCTAAATGAACTCTCCCTTTCTCCGGGTAAAAATGGAGTCCCTGCAACAAGCCGAACTCTCCAAGAAGGATTATCGCCTTCCGCGCCTCTGGTTCTACGCTTGGGAATCAGAATGCGCGACACTATCGATCGAGTAAGCACGGACGGGATGGCGGCACTGAAGTGACGATCAACTTTGAGGCGGCAGCTTCTTCGCACGTGGACGGAGCTGCTGCTGGTGTGGTGAGTGTCGCAGAGAGACGGCGTAACGGCGTTATATGATGCTACTTGCAGTTGCTTGCGGGCTGGTCTATCCACAAACGAAACGACGCTGCTGAACTGAAGCCTGGGCCGGGCTGGGCTGGTCTGGGGACGACCATCGTCTGCAGCACCTCACACGCTAGCGGTGATTCTGAACCTTGCCTTCGAAAGCTGAGGAGGAAGGGATGAGAGAAAAATCTGCATATATGGTTTGGGTGGTTTTATTCCGTGGACGTTGCGGTGCGAGGGGCTGCAGGTGGATTATCAGAAAGGTACGCTACGGTCTCACGCGTTCTTGTACGGGGTCCTACGGTTCGATGCGGCGATGCTGTCGATTTGGGGAATGGAGCTGGTAGCCTTTTTTTTCACGCGAGAGATTTCCGTGAGCGGGTGGGCAAAGCCCGCGCAGCAGTCGCATTGCGAAATTTGAGCCAATTGAGAAACTGGGCCAACGCGGAAATTGTCGAATGCGCGACACTATCGAAGCAGGCGATTCGTGATGCGCGCCTCGGGATAAAAGCGCCATGCCAGCACAAAGGCCAATCCATACGAACCACGTGTATGATAGGGATCGAGACCATTGGATGTGACAAACACGAAATGCTGTGTTGGCTTTTGGCGACGCACACCAAATTTGCTGGAAACCCGAATTCGCAAACCTAACAGAGTTTCCATAAGTGTCTACAGTGACGCAAGCAGCACACTCAGATGAATCCAGTAGAGTATACCTGTAAGGAAATGGTATTTCCTTGGTTTTAAGCAGTAACGCGTACACTGCTTTAATGGGATTGCCGCGGAGCTCTGCCACGAAATTCAAATCGCGGTCCCGGATGTGGTCTCCTGACGAGCCGCATGCATTATCGTCCGCCTTGCTGTTGGGTGCCTAGATCTAGGCGCTTCGCGCCATTTTACGAACCACACGTACGCAATCAAGGTCTTAGCAAGTGAGAAGCTACATGAACTAGACCAAGCTAGACACAGTGCCGCTGATGATATGTAGGCGCAAGCGCCTTCGTAAAGATATCAGCCGTGTTGGCACCTGAGGCCAAATGTACTACGCGGGTCTGGCGGCGCTGCTATAGCACGCGCATGAGGAAGTACCGCAGCTGAATGTGCTTTGCTCTGCCCTCCAGTCGAGGTTTCCTGACATAGGAGGATCTGTCAATTTATACATATGTTTATATGTAGAAGTTATAGGCTAGATAGGCTTGTGTTCTTAGAGAGTACATCTCCGATTATATATCTTTCCTGTACACTCTTGTTCCTATCATTCTAGTATTCTAACATGGTATCATGAGTAGGTTAGGTCCCCCCACCCGCTTCCGCCCCTCGCCCTAGCCTACCGCGCCTCGCCGTCCCCTAGCGCGTCTGCCGCCCCTAGCGTGCCCGCCGTCCCCTCGTGCCTAGCCGGCCCCTCGCCCCCAGCTGGCCCCTCGCGCCCAGCCGGCTCCTCTCGCACCGTAGCCGGCCCCTCGCGCCTAGCTGGCCCCTCGCGCCTAGCCGGCCCCTCGCGCCCAGCCATCCCCTCTCGCGCCGTAGCCGGCCCCTCGCGCCCAACTGGCCCATCGCGCCCAGCCGGCCCCTCTCGCGCCGTAGCCGGCCCCTCGCACCTAGCCGTCCCCTCTCGCGCAATAGCCGGCCCCTCGCGCCTAGCTGGCCCCTCGTGCCCAGCCGACCCCCTCTCACCTAGCCCCCCCCCCCCCTCTCGCCTAGCCGGCCCCTCGCGCGCCTAGCCGGCCCCTTAGCGCCTAGCCAGCCCCTCGCGTGCTCACTGGCCTCTCGCACCTAGCCGGCTCCTTAGCCTCTTGCCGGCCCCTCGCGCCTAGCCGGCCCCTCGCGTGCTCGCCAGCCCCTTGTGCGCCTAGCCGGCCCTTCGCGCTTCCCGGCCCCTCGTGCGCCCGCCTGCCACTCGCGTACCTCCCCGGCCCTCTTGCACCTCCTTGGCTCCTCGTGCGCCCTCCTGGCCCTAGCGCTCCGCCGGCCCTTCGCGCCCTGCCAGCTCTGCACGCCTCGGGCCCTGTGCGCCTCGGGCCCTCCTCGGCCTTCCCAACGGTTTTCCAGCCGGAGAGCCCTACCGCCGTGCCGCTGCGCACCTGTGCCGCTGTGCCGCCGAGTCCCCGTGCCGCTGTGCCGCCGTGACGCTGTGCCGCCGTAACGTTGTGCCGCCGTGGACCTATATCGCTGAGGCTGCGCGATGGCGGACTCTGTACATCGCCTGAACATGGAGGGACACGCGATCGAGTTCGCCGCCTGGCTTGTCGATCTCCGTTGGCACCTGACAGGTCAGAGCCATGATGGGCACTCCCTGGCTATGCATGTTGATGGCTTGCTTCCTCGCCCTTCTGCGCCTAATCCCCTCCCTGCTGACCCCACCACTGTTGAGTGTGAGGCCTTTGCTGCTGCTGCGATCGCTCGCGCTGTCTGGGATTCTCGCGATGCTGTAGCGCAACTCGCCATTAGTCATGCGCTTCCTCTGCCAGAGCGACCGCGCTTCACTGCTGTCGCGAACGCCAAGGACTTCCTAGATGCAGTAGTTGCGCGCTACTCCATCCCTGCCTCCGCCTCTGCTGGCCGCTTGATCCTCCCCATGCTATTTCCTGACCTTTCCTCTTTCCCCACTGTCGCTGACCTCCGCTACTCACCTCCGAGCACTAGAGACTAGCTACTGCGCTGCTAGCACTACCGCCCAGCTCACTGCCTTTCCCCCACCGTTCTGCGCTATCCTGTACCTTATTGTCATGCGCCTGCCTGATTGCTTAAGCCACTGCTCGCGACCACTTCCTTAGTCAGCACTCTAGCGACCTCACCCTCACCGCCTTTTTCACTACTCTGTCTAAGATAGAGACTCGTCAGCGCACTATCGCTCAGTTGAGCGATGTTGCGGCAGTCCCTATCTTTCAGGGCTGTGCTCCCTCCCAGTGCACGTACGCTGACGTCTCTGCCACGGTTCCCACGGCCGCCCCTACCACTGAGACAGCAGCTGCGGCTTTCCCGCAGTAGCGACAGCTTCGGGGCCGTCACGACCCCAAGGAAGGGCGTGGTGGTGGCGTTGGTGGTGGTGGTGGTGGTGGCGGGGACAGTGGTTATGACAAGGGGGTTGGAGCTGGTGTCCAGGACCAGCAGCAATCGCAACAGACGCAGTAGCAAAAGTTGCAGTCGCAGCAGCAGCAGCAGCCGCCCGCAGCAGCAGCAGCAATGGCCCCGCCTCCCGCCGGGGGTGGCCAGGGGCCCCAGGAGGTGGTGGCCGCGGTGGTGGCCCGCGCTGCTCGGCGTCTACAGGCAGCTTCAGTGCTGTGAGCTGTCAGTACCAGCTCCAGACCAGACCCCTCCATGACACCATGTGCCGCCGCCCGCACCCGACGCCCGCTACCTCCGCCGCCTCGACGACCTCTTTCGTTGCCGCTTCAGCTCGGCCCCGGACCTCCCTGACTGGCCTAGTCTGCTGCGCCACGGTGTGCCTGTTTTTAACATAGACATGGATCAGATTAGTTCTGCCCTGCATTCTCTGTATGCTGACGCTTCTAGTGTGTCCGGATCTTATTACCCTGTGTTCTCTACCTTAGGCGTAGCACCTGTGTGTAGTTCAAACTTCCCTGCTGCGACAGGTGTAGGACTGTTTACTTTGTCCAGCCTGGGCTCTACACTCACTCCTCCTCCGTCTGCCGCTACTGCTTCGCTGTCCTTCACACTTGACTCCGGTGCGTCAGCCTGCCTCTTCCGAGACCACGCCACCCTCGCGCCGCTTGCCGCGCATGCGGCTGTCGCACTTGCTGACCCCTCCTCAAGTCCTGTCGTAGCTCGCAGCTACACTACCCGTCCCTGTCCGGCGGTCCCCTCGGGTTCCCTTACAGACCTGCACATCCCTTCGTTCTCCATAAACTTAGTTGGTGCCGGCTGTCTTCAGGACCTCGTCGTCACCACTACGTTCCGTGGTCACAAGCGGTACGCTGTCTGTACAGAGGCTGCCTCAGGTTCCCCCGGGACCCGGTGTCTGGCTTGTTTACGCTGGACACTGCTTCCTCCTGGGTGGGCGCGTCCTCCCCGGGTCCTGCATCTACCCAGGTTGCTGTGGCTTGCTCGTGTCGGACGCTCACTCACCCGTCGCTTCTGTGGCACCACTGCCTAGGTCACCCCACACTCCCACGTCTGCGTCACATGTCTCAGCACAGTCTCATCCTAGGTCTCCCTGCATCGCTTCCTGCCCTCCCTCCCTCGCCTGCGCCGCCGTGCACGCCTTGCGTCGAGAGACAGCTGCGCTGTGCTCCTCACTCCTCTTCGCTTTGCCCTGCCACTGCACCCCTCCAGACCCTGCACTTGGACGTCTGGGGCCCAGCCCTCGTCCCTGGACCGCGTCGCGAGCGTCACTTTCTCGTGCTCGTCGACGACTACACGTGCTACACCACGGTGTTTCCCCTAGAGCGGAAGGCCGACGTGCCTGACGTTCTTATCCCGTGGGTCGTAGTTGCGCGCCTCCACCGTGGTCTCCCTATGCTGTGTCTCCACTCTGACCGTGGCAGCGAGTTCGCCTCTGGTCGGCTTGGACAGTTCTGTCGTGCGGAGGGCATCACCCAGTCGTACACCCTACCGGACTCCCCGCAGTAGAATGGGGTCGCTGAGCTACGCATCGGTTTGGTCATGGAGGTGGCTCGTACCTCCATGATTCATGCCGGTGCACCCCATTTTCTGTGGCCGTTTGCCGTTCGCTACGCCGCTCACCAGCTTAACCTGTGTCCGCGCTCCCAGCAGCCGCAGGTTTTGCCGACCCTTCTTTGGACCGGGTTCCCTGGTGACGCGTCCGCGTTCCATGTCTGGGGCTGCCTTGCTCATTTTCGTGCCTCTGGCACGGACAAGCTCACTGCCTGCACTGTCCCCTGTGTCTTCCTCGGTTTCCCCCTTGAATCGTCTGACTTGCACTTTTACCACCCGCCGTCTCACCGCTTCTTTCACTCCCGTGACGCTACTTTCGACGAGTCTGTCTCCTTTTACCACCGCTTTCCCCACCGAGGTCTCCCGGTTTCCCCTTCCCTGTTTCTGGTTCCCACTCCCCGGTAGCCCCTGCTCCCCTCCCTCCCCGTCCTGCTCCCTCTGGTGTGTCCCACGTCACTCCCCTCCTGTCCGTTGTCCCGGTCGAGGAGTCGGCTGACTCTGGGGCCCCCGTGGCGCTGCTCTTGCCACCTGCCTCTCCCCCGGTGTCTCCTCCTCCGCCGCCGCAGCAGCCACTGCAGCCGTCGTCGCAGCCGCCGTAGCAGCAGCCGCCGTTGCCACCGCAGCAGCAGCTGTTCGTGGACTCTGGGGTTGCTAGCGTTGAGGAGGGTGCTAGTCCAGGGGTTCCTGTCGTGGCTTGTCCTGACGGGCCTGGGGGTGGCACCAGTGCTCGAAAGGGTTCTTGCTCCTGGGGTTGATCGTTCTGGGGGTGCTTGAGTGGAGTGTTCCGGATGTTACCGTGGTGCAGTTGGTGGTACATGTGTCAGCGTCGAGCAGTAGCAGCAGCAGTCGCCGACGATGTCCACCCTTCGCCTGCTCGGCCTTCCCTCCCCTGACATCTCGCCTGCGCCTGCCCCGCCGCCTCCCCTTCTTGTCTACAACTCTGTGTTCCCTCCCCCGGACTCGTCTCCGTCTCATCTCCCCCCTTGTTCCCCTCCTGTCTCTCCTCCACTGTCTCCTGACCAGACGCCTCAGTCTCACGTCTGGTCTCGCCGTCCCTCTCGTACTCGCCCTGTCTCTCCTGTTCAGCATTCTCACCCTATGTTGCTTTGTTCCCACGCGTCTTGTCCTCCCCTTCTGCCTTCGCCTCATCCGTCATCGCTCGCTGTCGCGCCTCCCCCTTTGCTTGACTACCTTCGTGCTGTTCGTCCTCTTGTTCCTTGGGTCCTTGCCTCCCTCGTTACCGACCTGTCTGTTCCTGTCTCGACTCTTGACGCGCTTGTCGCTGCTCTCGCTGACTTCGCCTCTATCCGTCGCCTTGACTACGCGACTGCTCTGGTCTCTGTCCCTGTCTGTCCTCCGTCCATAGGGGGTGCGTCTGCCCTTGGCAGTGACGTCCTAGAGGACAGACAATACGAGCTTGCTTTCCTGTCTGAGGCTGCTCACCATCTCTGTTCCATGCTGCTAGTCCCTAAGGGTGACCCAGACGCCTTTGACAAACCCGACCCCTCGCACTTACAATGCGGCGACCTCAGAACCCTGGGCCTCTCAGTGGATAGCTGCCATGAAGCAGGAGATGGCATCTTCGAGATCCACCGGCACCTACGTCCACGCAAGTCCCCCACCTGGGGTGAACGTAGTCGATGGCCGGTGGCTCTTCAAGGTGAAGCGCCCCCCTGGAGAGCCGCCAGTGTTCAAGGCGTGCTACCTGGCTAGAGGCTTCAGTCAGCGTGAGGGGTTGGACTTCTTTCAGACCTTCGCCACGACCCCGAAGATGACTACTCTTCGAGCGCTACTACACGTAGCAGCATAGCGTGACTACGAGCTACACTCCCTCGACTCCTCCACTGCATTTCTTCATGGGAGCCTACACGAGCAGGTCTACCCGCGCTATCCTCATGGCTTTGCTGGTACCTTCACTTCTGGGACCCAGTGGCTCCTTCGGCGCCAAGTCTACAGCCTGTGACACGCGCCTCGTGAGTGGCACGACACTCTGCGTGCTACGGTAGCTGACGTGCAGTTCTTTCCTCTGCTGACCCCTCGCTCTTCGTTCGTGCTGGCTAGACGCTGTGCTACATCCTTGTCTACGTAGACGATATGGTCTTCGCCACTGCAGACAGAGATGCCCTAGCCTCCGTGAAGGTCGAGCTGCTGAGGACACACACCTGCACTGACCTAGGAGAGCTGCGCCACTACCTTGGCCTGCAGATCTCCAGGGACAGAGCAGCGCGAACCATCACTCTTACACAGTCACACTTGGTGCGCTAGGTCTTTCAGAAGTTCGGTCGTTAGTTCTCCTATGCACAGCCCATACCTCTGCCAGTAGATCATATACTCTCAGCTCCAGTTCCTAAGAAGTCAGTAGAGCCCAGTGGTCCTTACGCAGAGCTGGTGGGTTGCCTCATGTACCTGATGACTTGCACTCGTCCAGATCTCACATACCCTCTCAGCATCCTAGCTCGTTTTGTGGCCACAGGCAGACACCGACCACAGCACTGGTCGACCGCTAAGAGGGTTTTTTGTTAGTACTCTCGGGCATGGGGTTAGTGCTAGGAGGACGCAGGCCAGTGGTCCTTACTGGGCACAAGATGCTTCTTGGGCGGACGACGCTGAGACCCTCAAGTCCTCCCAGGGCTAGTGCTTTAGCGTTGGTTCAGGTGCCATCTCGTGGAGGTCCGCTCACTCCTCATCTGTTGCCTAGTCTAGCTATGAGGCTGAGATCTACGCCGGTGCCATGGCGGCACAGGAGCTCCGCTGGCTGACGATCTTGCTCACAGACTTAGGTGAGCGGCCTAGCTCTGCCCCGGTCCTGTTCGCTGACAACATGGCCAAGGCTGAGGCGACCTCGGGACCCTAGGCCTCTCAGTGGATAGCTGCCATGGATGCGGAGATGAGGCGCGGCCTCGGATAGGAAAGCAAGGTCGTACTGCCGGTCCTGCAGGACAACACTGCCAAGGGCAGGAGTACCCCCGACGGATGGAGGACGGGCAGGGTCAGAGACCAGAGCAGTGGCGTATGGTGGAGTGCAGTGGAGTGCGGTGAGGAGCGGTGGAGTGCGGTGGAGAGCGGTGAAGTGCAGTGGAGAGCGGTGGAGATTGCCGGCGGGAGCCCCGCCTCGGAGGGGAAGCCAAGGCCGGCGGGGTGGGGGGCGGTGGCTGGCGGCTACGGGCGTCCGGCGTCGACGGGCGGGCGGCTACAGACAAGCCAACGGCTATGGGCGGGCTGGTGGCAAAGGGCGCCCTGCAGGGACGGGCGGCCAGCGGCTACGGGCGGCTGGCGGCAACGGGCGGCTGGCGGCTACGGGCGGCCAACGGCTACGGGTGGCTAGTGGCAACGGACGGCTTGTGGCTACTAGCGGCTGGCGGCTACGCGCGGCCAGTGGCTATGGGCGGCTGGCGGCAGCGGGCGGCCAGCGGCGACGGGCAGGCTGGCGGCAACGGGCTGCCAGCGGGGACAGGCGGGCTGGCAGCGACAGGCGGCCACCGGTGACAGGCGGCGGGCGACTGGAGGCTACAGGCGGCGACAGGCGGCCAGCAGGCTACGGGCAGCTGGCGGCTACGAGCGGCAGCGACGGGCGGCGGGCAGCTGGTGGCTAAAGGTGGCCAGCGGGCTGGCGGCTACGGGCTGCTGGCGGCTACATGTGGCCAGCGGCGACAGGCAGCCAGAGGCTACGGGTGGCGACAGGCGGCCAGCGGGCTACGGGCAGCTGGCGGCGACGGGCGGCAGCGACGGGCGGCGCGCAGCTGGCGGCCAGCAGGCTGGCGGCTACGGGCGGCCAGCGGCGACAGGCGGCCAACGGGCGGCGGGCAGCCGGCGGGCCGGCGGCTACGGCCGACGAGCGGCTAGCAGCGGCTAGCGACGGGCGGCTTGGGCTAGGGCTAGGACGAGGGCGGAAGCGCGGGTGGGCGGTATCCTAACCTAGCGTGATACCATCTCAGAGTAAAAAGTTGACTAGAATAATGGGGTACAAGGGAATATAACCTAAGGTGTTGTACTATATACACACCTATCTAGCCTGTAACAAAATATATGTTGACAGGCTATCCATGCTCCCGGCCTTTTTTATGTTGCCTCAGTTGTATTGTTTCCTCATAAATCAATCCTTCAACACACACTCTTCTTCGCACTTCATTACAATACCCCAAAACAATCACCCTTAGGAGTGTTCTACGATGTAGTTTGCGAATCTTGCTTGTATCACCCTATGTGTTCCATTGGATTTCAACAAGTCTACTTTCTTGCACTGCATAAGAAAGCCCACGTGCGATACCTCAATCTCACAATGCCCGCTGGAGTGCACCCAGCTACCACTCTTGACGAGTTGAGTGAGGAATCGAAGAAGCGCGGAGTCACCATATCAGATACAAAAAGGCGCGTGGTCAGACGCATGCATATCCAGTCACATCCCTTCATGCGGAACCTTCATCAAGCATCAGCTTCTCAAAATTCTTGATGGCTTCATCAATGCTTGCCAGCTCAGCCGCCAGCTTGGCAGCCTTGCTGGCATTCTCCTCCCTCACGTTTGCCGGCACCTTCTCCTCGTACCCCGGCACTCCCATCTTCTTGGCAAGGGCCTCCTGGAGCCTGGTGGGTGAGGAGGGTTCAAAGGGAGGAACAGGGGAAGTTAGGACATACGCCATGGGGCATATGGTGCAGCCTTGCTAGCATTCTCCTCCCTCACGTTTGCTGGCACCTTCTCCTCGTATCCAGGCACTCCCATCTTCTTGGCAAGAGCCTCCTGGAGCCTGGCAGGTGGAAAGCACAGTGGAATTTTCAATGCATGCTCATGTCGTTTGAGAAGTTATCAGCATGCTCATCGTGTATGCTCCGGTGTATGCTCAGGTGTATGCTCAAGTGTATGCTCAGGTGCATGCTCCGGTGCATGCTCCGGTGTATGCTCAGGTGCATGCTCCGGTGTATGCTCCGGTGTATGCTCAGGCAATTTTACAGTTTGAGGCATGACGAGATGGGATGTGACAACAGACGAGGTGAACAAAAAACTAACTATATGTCGATGGATATTAACGAGGAGGGTTTTCGTTAGGGAGCAAAAAAGAGACTCATTCGATTGGATGTCTCGTTCTGAGTTTCTTGCGTTTTATTTCTACCATTTCGCCTTTATTGCCGCCTTGGCATCCACCACCCCCCTCAGTAAACACTGACAGCAAGGGTCAACCCCACCGCTAGGGTGACTGCTGGGTTGAGTCCCTCAGCGTCTCCGACCAGACGAGGCAGCCCACTTGCTTGGCAGTTCCGTTCTTGCGCTCGCCCAGCTGCACTGTCTCTGCCTTGGCGTCTACCATCCCCGTCAGCAGATTTTGAAAGGATGCACTGTAGAGAGATGGTCTCGTTCTTGCGTTTGCCCAGCTTCTCTGTCCCTGCCCTTGCGTCAGGTAACACCAACAAGGCTCTAAGTCATCACGTGGAGACTCTTGAGTCACCTCTAAGCTTCAAACCAGAAAAAGGAAAGCCACGTACTTTGAGGTTTCGTTCTTGCGTTTGCCCAGCCTCTCTGTCTCTGCCTTGGCGTCCACCATCCCCCTCAGCAGCTTGACAGGCTCTCACCTTCTCAGGTGACTCTTGAGACAACTCAAAACAGAAAAGGCAGGAGGAGCTTACTTGCTCGTCTCGTTCTTGCATTTGCCCAGCTTCTCTGACTCTGCCTTGGCATCCAACATCCCCCTCAGCAGCTTGACAGGCTCTCATCTAGTCTGGTGACGCTTGAGAAAACTGAAATAGATAAGGTAGGGAGCTTACTTGCTAGTATCGTTCTTGTGCTTGCCCAGCTTCTCAGTCGCTGCCTTGGCGTCCACCATGCCCCTCAGCAGCACACACTAACTGAAAAGGTAGAGAGACTCACTTGGAGGTCTCGTTCTTGCGCTTGCCCAGCTTCTGTGTCTCTGCCTTGGCGTCCACCATCCCCCTCAGCAGCACGTGCACCGAGAGGTTCTCGTCCACTATGGCCACAGCGCACCCTGCAGGGGCCGACTCGCCCGCTGGGAGCACCTGGGAGGAGGAGAGGGAAGGAGGGTAGAGGGAGGAGAGGTGTGATATGGGGCAGGCAGGTTGCAGTGCAGCAGCAGCAGCAGCCGCAGCCGCAGCAGCAGCAGATGCACTGAGACGTTCTCGTCTACGACAGGTAACGCACACGCTGCAGGGGCCGACTCGCCTGCTGGGAGCACATGGAAGAGAGGTGCGAAGGAGAAGGTGAGTGGTGAGACCAAGGGTGCAGCAAGCCCACTCCCTCCCTCCAGTAGCAAGACCATTGCATCGAGCAGCAGGGCCATTCCCTTCAGTAGCAAGACCATTGCATCGAGCAGCAGGGCCATTCCCTTCAGTAGCAAGACCATTGCATCGAGCAGCAGGGCCATTCCCTCCAGTAGCAAGACCATTGCATCGAGCAGCAGGGCCATTCCCTCCAGTAGCAAGACCATTGCATCGAGCAGCAGGGCCATTCCCTCCAGTAGCAAGACCATTGCAGCGAGCAACAGGGCCATTCCCTCAGAGGCATATGCACCAACAGAGAAATGCAGGCGTCTCAGAAAGTGTTCTTCAAGAGCAAATGAGTCTAATGGTGGCGTAACGCCTGGGATAGGCAGGGAGTTAGATGCAACCTGGGGCCTGGGATAGGCAGGGAGTTAGTTGCAACCTGGGGCCTGGGATAGGCAGGGAGTTAGTTGCAACCTGGGGCCTGGGATAGGCAGGGAGTTAGATGCAACCTAGGGCCTGGGATAGGCAGGGAGTTAGTTGCAACCTGGGGCCTGGGATAGGCAGGGAGTTAGATGCAACCTAGGGCCTGGGATAGGCAGGGAGTTAGTTGCAACCTGGGGCCTGGGATAGGCAGGGAGTTAGATGCAACCTAGGGCCTGGGATAGGCAGGGAGTTAGTTGCAACCTGGGGCCTGGGATAGGCAGGGAGTTAGATGCAACCTGGGGCCTGGGATAGGCAGGGAGTTAGATGCAACCTGGTCCCTGGGATAGGCAGGGAGTTAGATGCAACCTGGGGCCTGGGATAGGCAGGGAGTTAGATGCAACCTAGGGCCTGGGATAGGCAGGGAGTTAGATGCAACCTAGGGCCTGGGATAGGCAGGGAGTTAGTTGCAACCTGGGGCCTGGGATAGGCAGGGAGTTAGATGCAACCTGGGGCCTGGGATAGGCAGGGAGTTAGTTGCAACCTGGGGCCTGGGATAGGCAGGGAGTTAGATGCAACCTAGGGCCTGGGATAGGCAGGGAGTTAGTTGCAACCTGGGGCCTGGGATAGGCAGGGAGTTAGTTGCAACCTGGGGCCTGGGATAGGCAGGGAGTTAGATGCAACCTAGGGCCTGGGATAGGCAGGGAGTTAGTTGCAACCTGGGGCCTGGGATAGGCAGGGAGTTAGATGCAACCTAGGGCCTGGGATAGGCAGGGAGTTAGTTGCAACCTGGGGCCTGGGATAGGCAGGGAGTTAGATGCAACCTAGGGCCTGGGATAGGCAGGGAGTTAGTTGCAACCTGGGGCCTGGGATAGGCAGGGAGTTAGATGCAACCTGGGGCCTGGGATAGGCAGGGAGTTAGATGCAACCTGGTCCCTGGGATAGGCAGGGAGTTAGATGCAACCTGGGGCCTGGGATAGGCAGGGAGTTAGATGCAACCTAGGGCCTGGGATAGGCAGGGAGTTAGATGCAACCTAGGGCCTGGGATAGGCAGGGAGTTAGTTGCAACCTGGGGCCTGGGATAGGCAGGGAGTTAGATGCAACCTGGGGCCTGGGATAGGCAGGGAGTTAGTTGCAACCTGGGGCCTGGGATAGGCAGGGAGTTAGATGCAACCTAGGGCCTGGGATAGGCAGGGAGTTAGTTGCAACCTGGGGCCTGGGATAGGCAGGGAGTTAGATGCAACCTAGGGCCTGGGATAGGCAGGGAGTTAGTTGCAACCTGGGGCCTGGGATAGGCAGGGAGTTAGATGCAACCTAGGGCCTGGGATAGGCAGGGAGTTAGTTGCAACCTGGGGCCTGGGATAGGCAGGGAGTTAGATGCAACCTAGGGCCTGGGATAGGCAGGGAGTTAGTTGCAACCTGGGGCCTGGGATAGGCAGGGAGTTAGATGCAACCTGGGGCCTGGGATAGGCAGGGAGTTAGATGCAACCTGGTCCCTGGGATAGGCAGGGAGTTAGATGCAACCTGGGGCCTGGGATAGGCAGGGAGTTAGATGCAACCTAGGGCCTGGGATAGGCAGGGAGTTAGATGCAACCTAGGGCCTGGGATAGGCAGGGAGTTAGTTGCAACCTGGGGCCTGGGATAGGCAGGGAGTTAGATGCAACCTGGGGCCTGGGATAGGCAGGGAGTTAGTTGCAACCTGGGGCCTGGGATAGGCAGGGAGTTAGATGCAACCTAGGGCCTGGGATAGGCAGGGAGTTAGTTGCAACCTGGGGCCTGGGATAGGCAGGGAGTTAGTTGCAACCTGGGGCCTGGGATAGGCAGGGAGTTAGATGCAACCTAGGGCCTGGGATAGGCAGGGAGTTAGTTGCAACCTGGGGCCTGGGATAGGCAGGGAGTTAGATGCAACCTAGGGCCTGGGATAGGCAGGGAGTTAGTTGCAACCTGGGGCCTGGGATAGGCAGGGAGTTAGATGCAACCTAGGGCCTGGGATAGGCAGGGAGTTAGTTGCAACCTGGGGCCTGGGATAGGCAGGGAGTTAGATGCAACCTGGGGCCTGGGATAGGCAGGGAGTTAGATGCAACCTGGTCCCTGGGATAGGCAGGGAGTTAGATGCAACCTGGGGCCTGGGATAGGCAGGGAGTTAGATGCAACCTAGGGCCTGGGATAGGCAGGGAGTTAGATGCAACCTAGGGCCTGGGATAGGCAGGGAGTTAGTTGCAACCTGGGGCCTGGGATAGGCAGGGAGTTAGATGCAACCTGGGGCCTGGGATAGGCAGGGAGTTAGTTGCAACCTGGGGCCTGGGATAGGCAGGGAGTTAGATGCAACCTAGGGCCTGGGATAGGCAGGGAGTTAGTTGCAACCTGGGGCCTGGGATAGGCAGGGAGTTAGATGCAACCTAGGGCCTGGGATAGGCAGGGAGTTAGTTGCAACCTGGGGCCTGGGATAGGCAGGGAGTTAGATGCAACCTAGGGCCTGGGATAGGCAGGGAGTTAGTTGCAACCTGGGGCCTGGGATAGGCAGGGAGTTAGATGCAACCTAGGGCCTGGGATAGGCAGGGAGTTAGTTGCAACCTGGGGCCTGGGATAGGCAGGGAGTTAGATGCAACCTGGGGCCTGGGATAGGCAGGGAGTTAGATGCAACCTGGTCCCTGGGATAGGCAGGGAGTTAGATGCAACCTGGGGCCTGGGATAGGCAGGGAGTTAGATGCAACCTAGGGCCTGGGATAGGCAGGGAGTTAGATGCAACCTAGGGCCTGGGATAGGCAGGGAGTTAGTTGCAACCTGGGGCCTGGGATAGGCAGGGAGTTAGATGCAACCTGGGGCCTGGGATAGGCAGGGAGTTAGATGCAACCTGGGGCCTGGGATAGGCAGGGAGTTAGATGCAACCTGGGGCCTGGGATAGGCAGGGAGTTAGATGCAACCTGGTCCCTGGGATAGGCAGGGAGTTAGATGCAACCTGGGGCCTGGGATAGGCAGGGAGTTAGATGCAACCTAGGGCCTGGGATAGGCAGGGAGTTAGATGCAACCTAGGGCCTGGGATAGGCAGGGAGTTAGTTGCAACCTGGGGCCTGGGATAGGCAGGGAGTTAGATGCAACCTGGGGCCTGGGATAGGCAGGGAGTTAGATGCAACCTGGTCCCTGGGATAGGCAGGGAGTTAGATGCAACCTGGGGCCTGGGATAGGCAGGGAGTTAGATGCAACCTAGGGCCTGGGATAGGCAGGGAGTTAGATGCAACCTAGGGCCTGGGATAGGCAGGGAGTTAGTTGCAACCTGGGGCCTGGGATAGGCAGGGAGTTAGATGCAACCTGGGGCCTGGGATAGGCAGGGAGTTAGATGCAACCTGGTCCCTGGGATAGGCAGGGAGTTAGATGCAACCTGGGGCCTGGGATAGGCAGGGAGTTAGATGCAACCTAGGGCCTGGGATAGGCAGGGAGTTAGATGCAACCTAGGGCCTGGGATAGGCAGGGAGTTAGTTGCAACCTGGGGCCTGGGATAGGCAGGGAGTTAGATGCAACCTGGGGCCTGGGATAGGCAGGGAGTTAGATGCAACCTGGGGCCTGGGATAGGCAGGGAGTTAGATGCAACCTGGGGCCTGGGATAGGCAGGGAGTTAGATGCAACCTGGTCCCTGGGATAGGCAGGGAGTTAGATGCAACCTGGGGCCTGGGATAGGCAGGGAGTTAGATGCAACCTAGGGCCTGGGATAGGCAGGGAGTTAGATGCAACCTAGGGCCTGGGATAGGCAGGGAGTTAGTTGCAACCTGGGGCCTGGGATAGGCAGGGAGTTAGATGCAACCTGGGGCCTGGGATAGGCAGGGAGTTAGATGCAACCTGGGGCCTGGGATAGGCAGGGAGTTAGATGCAACCTGGGGCCTGGGATAGGCAGGGAGTTAGATGCAACCTGGTCCCTGGGATAGGCAGGGAGTTAGATGCAACCTGGGGCCTGGGATAGGCAGGGAGTTAGATGCAACCTAGGGCCTGGGATAGGCAGGGAGTTAGATGCAACCTAGGGCCTGGGATAGGCAGGGAGTTAGTTGCAACCTGGGGCCTGGGATAGGCAGGGAGTTAGATGCAACCTGGGGCCTGGGATAGGCAGGGAGTTAGATGCAACCTGGGGCCTGGGATAGGCAGGGAGTTAGATGCAACCTGGGGCCTGGGATAGGCAGGGAGTTAGATGCAACCTGGTCCCTGGGATAGGCAGGGAGTTAGATGCAACCTAGGGCCTGGGATAGGCAGGGAGTTAGATGCAACCTAGGGCCTGGGATAGGCAGGGAGTTAGATGCAACCTGGGGCCTGGGATAGGCAGGGAGTTAGTTGCAACCTGGGGCCTGTGATAGGCAGGGAGTTAGATGCAACCTGGGGCCTGGGATAGGCAGGGAGGTAGATGCAATGGGCTGATCACATGCCTTGTAACCTTGGGTCTCATGAGCATGAGCTCTGCCAGTGTTGCGAGGGTCCTGACTCCTGATCCCCCCGACAGCAGCCGCCTCGCTCTAGCACTGCGCATACGCCGTGGGCCGTTGCTTGGGCTCCAATCTAGGTGCAGCACACATGCATACAGACCGCTCTATTCCTTACCTGCAACTCTGCCAGTGCTGTGAGGGTCTTGATCTCCCCTACAGCAGCCGCCACAGCAGCAGCGGCCGCCTCATTCTTGCACAACCCATACCCTGTAGGCAGTTGCATGAGCCGCAATCTAGATGCAACAGGCATACATACCCATGGTTGCAAGCAGTCTAGGTGCAATACCCATTCCCCTTCCACACTTAGCACTCGTCAATACCTGCAGCTCTGCCAGTGTTGCAAGGGTCCTAATCTTCCCTACAGCAACAGTCACTGCAGCAGCAGCCGCCTCACTCTTGCACTGAGCATATACTGTGGGCCGCTGCTTGGGGGCTGCAATCTAGCTACAGAACGCACACACACCTGTTCTCCACCCTACCTGCAGCTCTGCGAGAGTTGCAAGCGTCCTGATTTCCCCAACAGCAGCCGCCACTGCAGCAGCAGCTGCCTCGCTCTTGCACTGAGCAGACGCCGTGGGCCGCTGCTTGGGCTGCAGCGCGTACGCCATGCGCAGGGAGCGGATGGAGCGAACTGCTGCTTCGGCTGTCGCCATCATTGCCTCTGCCTCGGGGTCTGCCCACTCCTGCGACGGGAGGCGAGGGTGGGAGCACGGGGAAGAGTTTTGAGGCGCCTCAAAAGTCGAGAGGCGAGGGTGGGAGCACGGGGAAGAGGGGGGGGTAGAGAAAGGCCGCTGCTCGGGCTGCAGGGGAATGGGGGAGGGGAATGGGGGAGGGGAATGGGGGAGGGGAATGGGGGAGGGGAATGGGGGAGGGGAATGGGGGAGGGGAATGGGGTGGGGAATGGGGGAGGGGAATGGGGTGGGGGAATGAGAGTGCACTGTGCATCCACGTACATACCTTGACGGGCGAGGGGAGAGTGCACTGTGCATCCACGTGCATACCTTGATGGGCGAGGGGAGAGTGCACTGTGCATCCACGTGCATACCTTGATGGGCGAGGGGAGAGTGCACTGTGCATCCACGTGCATACCTTGACGGGCGAGGGGTAGGGGGCGATCATGATGGAAGGCCATGTGTAGTCGGCGGGTTTGGGCAGCCGCTGCCACAACTCCTCGGTCACAAATGGCATGAAAGGGTGCAGCAGACGCAGACCCGCGTCCAGACACACCCAGAGCACCTCACGAGTGACCTGATAGCGGTGGAGAGGGGTGGAGGGAATAGGAGGGGGGGGCCAAGCTTGGATTTGAGTAGAGGAGAGGAGAGAACCACGACTGCACTGTCGGGAATGGAATGACGGGGTGCAGCCGGTGCGACCTCTGCATCCAGACACACCCAGAGGACTTCGCGGGTGGCCTGATAGAGGTGGAGAGGGGCGGAAAGGGGTGGGAAGGGGTGGAGAGGGGGGGCAGGTCAAGCAGTAGTGAGTAAAGGAGAGAACCACGACTGCTCCGTCAGGAATGGAATGACGGGGTGCAGCCGGTGAGACCTGCATCCAGACACAACCAGAGGACTTCTGGTGTGACCTGAGAGGGGTGGAGAGCGGTGGAGATGGATAGGACACAAAGAGCTGAGGCATGGAGGGGGTTAGATTAGAGGGTATCCTCTGAGCCGAATGGCGTGAAGGGGTGCAGCAGGCGCATGCGTCAAGGCACATTCACAGGGCCACAGGCAGACACACAAGGGCAACAGCTCACCTGCTTGAGCTTCAGTGGCTTACCAGCAGCATCCCCTGCCAACTTCAGCTTTAGTGCTTTACCCCTCTTTACTGGTTTTGAGTCGACTCAAAAGCAGTCCCCTGCCAACCTCAGCTTCAGTGGCTTACCCCTCTTTACTGGCATTGAAAGCGGGCTTGGATACCTCAATGAACACGTTGCACAGCTGGTACTGCCATCATGCACACAATAGCCAGCTGTTATGACACTGCCATAACAGCCTAGCAGCACTCGACCTGCTTGAGCTTCAACGCCTCCTCCCCCTTGCTTGCATTCACAGCGGGCTTGGACACCTCGATGAACACGTCGTACAGCTGGTACTGCCACCATACACACACGAGACTGCCATAACAGCTTAGCAGCACCCTACCTGCTTCAGCTTGAGCGTCTCCTCCCCCTCGCTAGCATTGAAAAGCGGGCTTGGACACCTCGATGAACACGTTGCACAGCTGGTGCTGCCACAGTGCTTTTCAGCGGCCTGCCTCAACACCAGTGGAATCCTCACAGCAACAGAGAACCCCACCTGTTTGAGCTTGAGCGCCTCCTCCCCTTCGCTTGCATTAAAGGCGGGCTTGGACACCTCAATGAACACGTCGCACAGCTGGTACTGCCACCACGCATACGCCGCTGTAGTGGCCTCTGCCAGGTCGTAACCCTCCAGTGCAGTTACTGCACGCGTTACAGTGGCGTTCAGCACGGAGAGAATCCAGCGGCAGGACAGCGGGAGAGGTGCAGAGAAGGCGAAGTTGAGCGTGGGAGTGAGAGGAGGAGAGCAGGAGGAGGAGGAGGAGGGGGGAGGCTGAGGGAGGACGGAGGGGGGGGTGAAGGAGTCTCCGAGGTTGATCATGGCGAAGCGGATTGCGTTCCACAGCTTGTTGCACCACAGGCGGTAGCCTTGCACGCGCTGGATGTCCAGGTTGATGTTCATCCACTGGAGACGTGGGGGGGAGGGAGGGAGGGGTGAAGGGAATGGAGAGGACAAATTCACAGGGTAAGTGGGGATATGTGGCCTCAAACAGAGCCTGTTGCACCACAGGCGGTAGTCCTGCACGCGCTGGATGTCCAGAATGATGTTCATCCACTGGCGGAGGGAGGGGAAGGGCAGGGGGGGGGATGTCCAGAATGATGTTCGAATTTTTAGGCGCCTAAAAAATCGTCTGGATGTCCAGAACGATGTTCATCCACTGGACAAGGTGTGGATGGCGGGGAAGGGGATGAGGTGGGAGGGAGGGGAAGTGGGAACAGGCAGTCATGCAATGAGAGGCTCAGAGGCCTCAGAACAGGAGTTGACACAACCCAGGTGAGGATTTGACAGGCACACATTCAAGCACTTTGACCTGTATAAAAACCCTCACCTGGGTGGTGTAGTTGACCAGAGCGAACCGCAATGCATTTCACCCGTTGGGGAAGTCCGCCGCCTGCCCTGCTTCCGCCTTCTTGACCTCTCTGGGGTCCAAGTTGCCCTTTTCCAGATTCCCATTAGTCTCACCTGGGTGGTGTAGTTGACCAAGGCAAACCGCAGGGCATCGCATCCGCACTTAGCAATCCCATTAGGAAAGTCCCCCGCCTGCCCCGCCTGGGCCGTCTTGACTTCCCTGGGGTCCAAGTTGCCCTTCTCCAGATTGGCTTGCAGCTGCTGCAGGGTGATGCCGTTGAGGGTGCTTCTGGTTTGAAGGACCTAGACTAACCTCACACTCACCTCCGGGTCTCACCTGGGTGGTGTAGTTGACCAGTGCAAACCGCAGTGCATCGCACCCACACTCCGCAATCCCATTGGGGAAGTCCGCCGCCTGCCCTGCTTGCGCCTTCTTGACCTCCCTGGGGTCCAAGTTGCCCTTCTCCAGATTGGCCTGCAGCTGCTGCAGGGTGATGCCGTTGATCACTTCGAGGGGATCGATCACATTGCCCAGCGACTTGGACATCTTGCGCCCATGAGCGTCCCGCACCATGGCGTGAAGATAGACCTAAGGGGGTGAAAGGTGGATGGGGGGATGGATGGAGGCGAATGGAGAAAAAGCCAATCTTTATGCCATTCTGTTGCAAAGAGGAGGAGAGACCGGGACAAGAAGACAGAAAGTTTGAGAGGTCGCGAAAAGCAATGGACGTCGCCGAACCGTTGCTTACATGGCAATAAACCACCCCCCTTGCTTGCCCTATACCCACCTGCTTGAAAGGCAGCTGTCCCGTCAGCCGCAGTCCCATGAAGACCATCCTGGCGACCCAGAAGAACAGAATATCGTGCCCCGTCTCCAGCAGAGCAGTCGGGTAGAACGCCTTCAGGTCCGCACTCTCCTCCGGCCACCCAAACACCGAGAACGGAAACAGCCCTGACGAAAACCACGTGTCCAGAACATCCGGGTCGCGCCCCAGCTCGAACTTTCTGCCCGGAAACTTTTCCTCGGCTGCCCGGCGCGCGTCAGCGTCGGTGCGGGCGACGACCCAGTTGGAGTTGTACGCGCCAAACTCGCGCACGGGGAAGTCCCGGGCGGCGGCCTCGTCTGATTGGTCGAATGTGACGTACCACGCGGGGATGCGGTGGCCCCACCACAGCTGGCGGGAAATGCACCAATCACGAATGTTCTCCAGCCATCTGGGGGGGGAGAGGGGGAAGGGGGAAGGAGGCAGGGGGGAAGGGGGGTGGGGGGAGGAGGAAGGGAGGGGGGACGAGGGAAAGGGGAGGGATCATGAACAGCGGGCAGTGGGATAGTAGTGCGAGACAGGAGCAACGGGTGTGAGACTTTCCCCCAGTAACATAACAACCTGACAGCTTGACACGGCCAGGCCTGAACGCCTTTCCCCAGTAATACCCTCCCTCAGTCCCCCCCCACCCTGGTAACGCCCTGTACCATACAAGAGACGTGTGTTCACCTGAACCACGTCTCCTCATGCGCCCTGGGGATGAACTCCAGCTCGCCGTCCGTCCTTAGCCTGATAGCACCTTGCCCTAGCAACAGCAAGACCCAGAACAACCCCCCCCCAGAACAAACCCCTCCCAGAACAAACCCCTCCCATACAAGAGAGATATTCACCTGAACCAGGTCTCCTCATGTGCCTTGGGGATGAAATCCAGCTTGCCGCCCGTCAAAGCCTGTTAACCTTAGCCTGATAGCACCTTGCCCTACCCAGGTTAAACCCCTCCCATACAAGAGCAATACCTACCTGAGCCCAGTCTCCTCATGCGCCATGCGGATGAATTCCAGCTGGCCGTCCCTCACAGCCTGGCAACCCAGTGGCCAGCCTAGCAACACCTTCCCCGAGCAGCAGTGACAACAACATGCCCCAGCAATAACCTGCCCCAGTTATCACCTGTCCCCACCCCAACCAAGAGATATTCACCTGAACCAGGTCTCCTCGTGTGCCTTGGGGATGAACTCCAGCTGGCCGTCCCTGACAGCCTGGCACGCGTCGGCCGCCACGTCAGCGCAGCTGACATACCACTGCGGCTTGAGCATGGGCTCGATGATGTCCTTGCTGCGCGAGCAGAAGCCCAGGCGCATGGGGTTGTCGGCTACACCCCTGTATAAACCCTGAAAGGGGAACGGAGGAAAAGAGTAGGAGGTGAGGGCAGGACACAAGCGGCTTGAGCATGGGCTCGATGCTGTCCTTGCTGCGCGAGCAGAAGCCCGGGCTCATGCAAACACGTCCAGCCAGACCTGAGTCGACTCAAGAGTAGTTGGAGATGGCATGGCCAGGTTTCCCCTTCTCAAATAGGAGACCCTACCCTACCCCTTCTCCCCATCTCCCACCTTCTCCTGCAGCTTCTCCCGCACGGCTGTGCGCGCATCAAACCGCTTCATGCCTTCGAACACCTTCCCTCCATTGGCGTTGATCAGCCCATCGGCCGTGAACACAACTAACTCCAGGCTGTGCCGCTTGCTGTGCAGTCCCCCAAAGTTCCACCCTCCATCTCACAACACGCACCTTCTCCTGCAGCTTCTCCAGCACGGCTGTGCGCGCGTCGAACCGCTTCATGCCCTCAAACTCCTTGCCTCCATTGGCGTTGATCAGCCCATCGTCCGTGAAGATGTTGATAAACTCCAGGCTGTGCCGCTTGCCCGTGGCGAAATCGTTCGGGTCGTGAGCGGGGGTGATCTGACGGTTGGTTGGGTTGGGTGTTGAGGGCGAAAGAGAAATGAGAGAGTGAGAGTGTGAGGGAGTTGGAAGATGTTGATAAACTCCAGGCTGTGCCGCTTGCCCGTGGCGAAATCGTTCGGGTCGTGAGCGGGGGTGATCTGACGGTTGGTTGGGTTGGGTGTTGAGGGCGAAAGAGAAATGAGAGAGTGAGAGTGTGAGGGAGTTGGAAGATGTTGATAAACTCCAGGCTGTGCCGCTTGCCCGTGGCGAAATCGTTCGGGTCGTGAGCGGGGGTGATCTGATGGTTGGTTGGGTTGGGTGTTGAGGGCGAAAGAGAAATGAGAGAGTGAGAGTGTGAGGGAGTTGGTGGAGATGTTGATAAACTCCAGGCTGTGCCGCTTGCCCGTGGCGAAATCGTTGGGGTCGTGAGCGGGGGTGGTCTGTTTGTGGGAGTGAGAGGGGATGAGAGTGAGAGTAAGATAGCGTTAGAAGATGCTGATGCACTCCAGGCTGTGCTGCCAGCTTGTGGCGAAATCGTTGGGGTCGAAAGGGGGAGGAGAGTGAGGGTGTACGAGAGTTGAAATGGTGGGATTGCAAAAACATTGCAATTTGCCATGTGGATATTTTTAGAATCCTGACGAGTGTTCTCACCTTCACAGCACCGGTCCTGAACGCCATGTTCACCAGCTCAGCATCGCACACAGTCAGGATCATCTGATCCAACCCTTACCACCCCCTCCCCCTACTCGCTCCCCTCTCCCCCACCTACCCACCCACCCACCTCTCCCCCTCAATCTCACCTTGACAGCACCGGTCCCGAACGCCATGTCCACCAGCTCAGCATCGCACACAATTGGGATGCGCCTGCCGCTGAACGGGTGCACTGCAAACTTGCCATGGAGCGCCTTATAACGAGGATCATCTGGGTGCACCGCCACTGCCGTATCCCCCAGCATGGTCTCCGGCCGGGTGGTTGCCACCACTATTTCCTTAAGAGCCTCCTCGCTGCCTTCTCCCTGTGCTGAGTCGGCTTCTAAGGGGTATGCGAACGAAGTGATAGCTCCGAATTCCACTGGTTTGTCGTAGCCGGGGACGGGGAGGTGGGTGCGACCCTTGAGATCATGGTACTCCACCTGGGAAGGGGAGTGACATGGGGGAATGATGAGTCCGTTTATAAGGGGTACGCATGCTATCTGTAGCCGGGGACGGGAAGGAGGGTGCGGCCCTTGAGATCATGATACTCCACCTGGTAAGGGAGGAATGACATGGCGGAACATTGAGTCAGCTTATAAGGGGTACGCAGGCTTGTCGTAGCCGGGGATGGGGAGGAGAGTGTACCCTTCCGTTTGTGATACCTCAGTTTATGCGTATACAGTATGCCTGAAAACTGGAAAATACAACTAAGCTGATAATAGGTGATAATAATTGATGGGGGGGAGAAGCGGTTCAGCTGATATGGCTGATGCCAGCGGCTCACCTCAATATCAGAAATCGCTGTTCGGAGGACGCAGTCCCAATTGACCAGACGGTTATCCCTGACGAAAGGGAAGGAGGACCAGAGGGAAGTCAGGACAAGAGTAAAGGAGAGAGGTAAAAGCCAGGTGGGGTTGAGAAAAGAGCAGGGAGGAGGGAAGAACGACTGAGGTAACAGGAGGAGAACAGGCTGGGAGGGACGCCGTTGTGTATGGGGGACAAGCAGTGGGAGAAAAGAACTATTTTTCCCAACTACACAGCAGCCCTGTGTCTCATCACTTAACCGGTCAGCCTCAATAATCTCTGAAAGCAGCCTTCATAGGTTCTAACACGCTCACCTGTAAATGAGCCCCTGGTCATGCAGCTGGACAAACGCCTCAGTGACGGCGCGAGAGAGCTTGTCGTCCATGGTAAAGCACTGGGGGAGAGGAGAGAGAGGGGAAGAGAGGGGAGAGCAGCAGAGAGGCGTGAAGAGAAGGGGTAAATGGGGAAGAGCGAGCATGTCAGCAGCCGGACAAACGCCTCAGTGACGGTGCGGGAGAGCTTGTCGTCCATGGTAAAGCACTGGGGGGAGAGGAGGGGGGGAGATGGGGAGAGAGGGGCAGAGAGGGCAGAGAGGGGCAGAGAGGGCAGAGAGGGGCAGAGAGGGGCAGAGAGGGGAGAGGGGGAAGAGTGAGCATGTCAGCAGCCTGACAAACGCCTCAGTGATGGCGGGAGAAAGCTTGTCATCCATGGCGATACACTAAAAAGGGGGTGTGTGTGGGGGGGGGGGGGGGAGTTGAGGCGCCTCAAAAATCATGGCGACACACTAAAAAGGGGGGGTGTGTGTGGGGGGGGGGGAGGGAAACGGCTTTCGAAGAGAGGTGGTTGTGCACTGGCTGTGCAGCCTGACAAACGCCTCAGTGACGGCGCGAGAGAGCTTATTGTCCATTGTAAAGCACTTGGGGGGGGGGAGGAGAGCGGGAGGGGTGGGATGGGCGGGTGGGGAAGAGTGGGGGCGGCAGGACAAGAGTGCATCCTGAGGGTGTCTCCCTTGGCTTGGACACTGCACAGGGGTGCTCGATGACTGCACGAGAGAGCCTGCTGTCCACAGTGAAGCACTGGGGGGTGAGCCTGTGAGGGAGGGGAGGGGGAAGAGGGAAAGATATGCCAGTGCAGGAGAATGAGGGTTGGGTGGGAGATGGGGGATGGGAGCCAGAAGGGGTCACGGGTCTTCACGAGGGAGAGGCGTAAGGTGGCTGACAGTGGAGGGGGGAGTGCTAGATTAGCGTTCAATGGTCGGTCGGGCAGGAGGAGAGCAGGAGGGGTGGGACAGGCGGGCTGGGAAGAAAGGGCACGGCAGGACAAGGGTGTTGGAGAGGGAGAGGCGTAAGGTGGCCGAAAGTAGACGAGGTAGCGCTAGATTTGCGTTTCGTGGTCAGTCCGTAAACCCTGGCGGCGACTGTGAAATGCAAGGGCGAGGAGGAGCTTGAGACATGAGGAGGAGGAACTTGGCTCGAATGTTGCTTACCTCTCGGGACCAGTCGAGAGACGCCCCCATTTTGCGCTGTTGATTCCCAATGCGGCCTCCGTAGTCCTCCTTCCACTTCCACACCTGGTAGGGCAAGAGATAGATTTAACAAAAAAAAAAAAAACCAACGATGCGTGGACTAGACTCAGGGCAACGGGCGTGTGCCAAACGAGGCATGGCCCAAGATAGCCAGCAGAGAACGAGGCATGGCCCAAGATAGCCAGCAGAGAACGAGGCATGGCCCAAGATAGCCAGCAGAGAACGAGCACATTAGAAGAAGAAGTTCGCAGGCAGCGTACCGCTCCTTCTGAAGGACAAACATCATCGTTCAGAAGGAGTAAAATAACACTCCGCAAGCGAAAGAAAGCAGTCGCACCCGTTGATACAACCACCGTACCTCCTTGACGAAATCCTCCCTGCCCACGTCGTGGCGCGACAGGCCCTTCTGGCGTGTAAGTAAATTACACAGATTGCCATACTACATTCCCACCACAACCACCGTACCTCCTTGACAAAATCCTCCCTGCCCACATCGTGGCGCGACAGGCCCTTCTCACGCATCAGCTTCTTCTCCACCACCACCTGCCAGGGGAGGCATGCAGTGTGATACATGAGGACATGGGGACACAATGCTACATGCTACCATACCATGCAGACACGCCCTTCTCCCGAATGAGCTTCTTCTCCACCACCACCTGTTACGGGAGGCATGCAGCAGTGACGCATGAGGACATGGGGACACAGACAGACAGACAGTGCTGCATGCAGCCATGCGTATAGGCCCTTCTCTCGCATGAGCTTCTTCTCCACCACCACCTGCCAGGGGAGGCATGCAGCAGTGACGCATGAGGACATGGTGCCGCAGTGAGACATGCAGCCATGGTGCAACAGCCATACACACAGCCATGCATAGACGTCTTCTCGTGCATGACCTTCTTCTCCGCCACCACCATCGGATATGGGGGTATGAGGCAGTGATACATCAAGGTACGAATGTAGCACCGTCAGAGCAGTCAACAATGCAGCGGTGCTTGAAGCCCTTGTCACGAATGAACTTACTCAGCACCTACCCCATACCTGAGTGGCAATGCACGCGTCCGCGCCCGGCAGCAAGCACCCAGCACACGTTGACTCCGCTCATTCTCTCTCGGCCCCCATCAACGCACCTTCATCAAACAAGCACATCACATAGTTTACCTGGGTGGCGATGCCAGCATGGTCCGTGCCCGGCACCCAGCACACGTTGAAGCCGCTCATGCGCTTCCAGCGCACGATCGTGTCCTCCACTGCTGCTGTGAGCCCATGGCCTATGTGCAGCGCGCCCGTCACATTCGGGGGCGGCACCACCTGCAAGAGGAGGAGAGAGGGGAGGGGGAGAGGGAGGTAAGGAATTGATTCAGAGCAAGGGGAGAAGGGGAGAAGGAGGGGAGAGGAGGGGGGGGGGGGGGGGGTTTAATTGAAACTCTGCTGTGAGCCCATGGCCCACGTGCAGCGCACCCGTCACATTTGGGGGCGGCACCACCCGCCAGGGAGGGGGGAAGGGGGGGGGAGAGGAAGGGGAAAAGGGGAAGGGGGAGTGTATTTGACAGAGAGGTTTTGCAAGAAAACGGCCTAGAAAAGTGCCTCTCCCTGAGACGAGCAACAAGACTCGATGGTGCTGAGAAGCACCTGAGAAGAAAGATGGCACCGTATGCTTCTAAGCACAAGGGACTCCAAAACCAAGGGCCTAGTTCAATACTGCTTCTACAGGCCGATGATCAAAGCCCTCGACCTGCAATATCGCTTGCACTCGTGGGACTTACAATGACAAAGGGCGGCTTGGTGCTCTGATTGTCGCCCTTGAAGAACCCCGAAGTCTCCCACCACTCGTACCACCTGATGGGGTCCAATCAACCAACCATGGGATGTGATGTGAAGGGGGATGAGAAGGACAAGTAAGCACTGCGTGAGGAGTCTATTTTTGAGGCGCCTCAAAAATAGATGTGAAGGGGGATGAGAAGGGCAAGTAAGCACTGCTAACATGATTCATGCATCCAGAGTCACACGTGTCCCACTGTAAGGAAACTCATTATTACTCATGACAATGCCTCAATGGCCTCGTGGCTGCAATTCCTTTGCAAGGCTCTTCTTCTGACCAGGCTCTGTGGGCGGATTCGCTGCATCCACGCCATAAGGTGATCCATTCTCTACAAGGGGGTTCACTAACACTCACAACACTATGCATCAACGGCCTTGGGTTGGGGATGCACGGCTTAGCCATTTCCTTGGCGAGGCTCTTCTTCTGCTCAGGCTCTGTGGGCGGATTCGCTGCATCATCCGCGCTGTAAGGTGATCCATTCCCTACAAGGGGGTTCATTAATTTTCACGATGCTTCGACAGCCTTGGGTTTGAACGCCTTGGCCATTTCCTTGTCAAGGATCTTCCTCTGACAAGACTCTGTAGCGGATTCACTGCGTCCGCGCTATAAGGGTGATTCAATACTATGTAATGCATCACTACTCATGATGCTTCGACAGCCTTGGGTTTGAACGCCTTGGCCATTTCCTTGTCAAGGATCTTCCTCTGACCAGACTCTGTAGCGGATTCACTGCGTCCGCGCTATAAGGGTGATTCAATACTATGTAATGCATCACTACTCATGATGCTTCGACAGCCTTGGGGTTGTACGCCTTGGCCATTTCCTTGGCGATGTTCTTCTTCTGCCCTGGCTCCGTGGGGGGATTCACTGCATCCGCGCTATAAGGGTAATTCATCACTGTGTGCAGTTTCACCACTACTACTTACGATGCTTCGACAGCCTTGGGGTTGTACGCCTTGGCCATCTCCTTGGCGAGGTTCTTCTTCTGCCCGGCCTCCGTGGGGGGATTCACTGCATCTGCCTCCTCCCCTGCTCCTGCGCCTGCTGCTGCCGCTGCTGCCTTCTTGGCTTTCGCCTCTGCCTTCTTTGAAGGCTGGACGAGAAAGAGATGACAAAGATGGAAAGAGGGAGAGGAAGGGGGATGGAAGGGAGATTCAAGAATGGGCTTACCCATGTCGGGAAGACCAAGCGAGCGAATCAGGCAAGCAAAGGCGACAGAAAAGAAGGCACCAGCAAAGTTGTGTCGTAGCAATTTCAAGAAGAACAAAGATGAGAAAATTCTGAGAACCCCAGCTCGCACCCCTGTGGGCTGCAGCGCGTCTGAGTCTTCAAACGGTGACTCGTAAGTCACAATGTCACCACGTCACCACGTCACCACGTCACCACGTCACCACGTCACCACGTCACCACGTCACCATGTCACCATGTCATGTCGTAGCAATTTCAAGAAGAACAAAGATGAGAGTGCAAAAAACCCCAGCTCGCACCCCCGTAATGCATCTGAGTCCTCTAATGCCACCTTTCCTCATATCACGATTCACGATAGTGGAAAGGACTTAGACGAATGTAAAAGGGCATATATGACCCGTACCTCTGCAGATGCAGCAGCAGCGGCTGCTGCCTTGGCCTTGGCCGCCTTCTCTGCTGCCTTCTGCTTCTTCAGCTCCTTCTCACGCGCCTGTGTGTGACGATAACGAGGGTTGACGGAAACGAGAACTGAGAACCAGGCGACAGAACCAGATTGACTGAACCAGACAGAATGACAGAGTTTTCACGGTGTAATAACAGGTTAGTGACCATATCGCGTTGGTAACCTGCTTGAGATCGTCCATCCACCCACCGTCCCTCCCTACATTGTTGCGAGAAAACTTGACCTACACTGATGATGCGACATGGTCGGGTCGCTGTAGAAAAGAAGAAAAAACGGAATTCATGCACAGCCATGACATGAGATGGCCTTTGCCAGAATGCAGACTGCTTCTGAGGATTAGGGAGAGAAGGTCCGGACACCACGACACGGCTATATTAAAAAAAAATATAAAAAAACACCCCGCCAGGTCCGGCCGTTTCTGAGGACTAGGAAAACAAGGTCCGGCCACCCCACACGGATCACCTTCTCCTCCTTCTTCTTCTTCCGCTCAGGGTCCTCCTTCTCTCCAGCAGCCAGCACGGCCTCAGCAGGCGTTGCTGCTGCTGGTTTTGAGGCGCCTCAAAACTCAAAACTATGCGGCACCTCAAAACTAAGCTCACCTTCTCCTCCTTCTTCTTCCGCTCAGGGTCCTCCTCCTTCTCTCCAGCAGCCGCCGCGACCTCAGCAGGCGGTGCTGCTGCTGGTTTTGAGGCGCCTCAAAACTCAAAACTAGGCGGCACTTCAAAACTAAGCTCACCTTCTCCTCCTTCTTCTTCTTCCGCTCAGGGTCCTCCTCCTTCTCCCCAGCAGCCGCCGCGGCCTCAGCAGGCGGTGCTGCTGCTGCCTTGAGATCCTTCTCCTGAAAATGTAGAAGGGGAAAACGCAAACAAGGAAGAAAACAATAGGATAAACAGAGCGGGATAGAGAATGGGAGAAAGGAAGGAGTCTTGATGGGTCAGTTAGAGCTGGAGCCTGGTAAGAAACACAATCCTCAACCGTTTGAAGCTTTTCCAACGCAAGCAATTACAAACGTCCCTACTAGCATTGCAATGAATAACGTTGACTTATGAGATACGTAACATCGATTGATAGACGTGTGGTTTTGAGACGGCTCAAAACTCCACTTCTACCACACGCATTGCAATGACAACGTTGACTCCTGAGATACGTAACATCGATCGAAATAACGAAAACTGGACGAGGATCTTACGCTTCGTGTGCTTGCCATAGCGCGTCTTATAGACTATGATCGCCATACGCGAAAGACTATTCCGTCACCGTTAAACTTCGTCTAGTGCGTTCTATAAACGCGATCACGAGCTTGCGATCGCGAGCTTTCGATCGCTCATACGCTTTGGATGAGGACGAACAAACGAACAAGGATAATTTAAAGAAGATCGGCGTTCTCAAACGGATACGAGAGCTATAACGAGTCTCAGGGCGAACGAGTCTCGCCATACACTCACCTCTGGTGCCATGGCGTTCCGACGCAAATAGGCGTCTAAGCAAAGCTAAGTCGGAGGCTTGGAAGGAAGCGAGGTGCCAAGGACAGGACCAGGGCCAAGGAAAATGCCGAGGAAGAAAAAGGCTCTCAAAAGGAGGCAGGAGGAAGATTTGACGGCTGGCCCAATGAGGTTGGGGGGGAGAGTTCAGACAGACAGGTACGGGAGATGGTGTCAGAAGTTTGTGGTGTGGCCCAAGGTTTGATCAGCGGCTGACGGAAAATCTCCCGACTGACAGAAGTACTTGCACACAAACGGCTGACTGCCAAACATCGAGGGAGGGCTTATTTCTGGACGGAAAGAAGCGGATCGGGTTGCGGAAACATGCTATCCAATGGGTTCGAACTGAACCTCCTGATGGTTTTTAGAAGGGAGGATGGAGGGATATGGTGCGCTGCAGAAAGATTTATCGTGGTCAGATCTGCTAAGCAGCGAACTTGACGAATAGGTTTGCGAACATGATTGCAAGTGCCGCAGCTTCAGACATGGTATGGGCAGTCGTTACGACAAACGGGAATCCTCCCTCGACACGCAATAGCGACCACTCACAAGCTCTCCGTCAACGTCTTGGTTTGCATGATTCTGGGTTTTGTTGTTTGTATTCGTTATTGATCTGATCATTATTTTGTGCTTGCGTATCCTCAACAATACATAGCGAGCTGCGTATAACCACTTGGAATTAATAGCTTTTCTACGCATGCAGCACGTCATTATCTAGGACTAGAGACTTAGGAAGGAACTCAGCTTAGTGGCAACCACTCCATTGAACCCTAACTTCACCAGGCAATATTCTCACTCGCTCGCCGCGCGTCATGCCTACAAACGGAAGCGCGTGTGCTTGGGTTGATGCTCACGGGAATCTAGACAAACAGGCCTCGAGAATAACTGACGTCCGCGACAGCAGCAACTGTGCTCGGTCTTGTTGCGAATCCAACTGTAGCGAGGATAGCAACCGCGCCGTTCAGTCAGGTGGTTGTATATCCGTCAATGACGGTTGCATGACGTCAGAGAATGGCTGCAACCCACTCCCCTCTGTTACCACCTCCACAAGCAGTGTTACCACTAGCGTTACCATCACTGGCAGCGACAACAGAGATGGCAGCAGTAGCGGCAGCAGCGCGCCGAGCGTGCGCATCAGCGGAAGCGGCGCAGTGGTGAGGGCGCGGGGAAGCGCAGGCGGAAGGCTGCTGTGCGGGGAGTGCGGGGAGAAGCGCGCCATGGTGAAACGACCCAAGACCGGGCAGCAGGTGCGCCTGCCGCTCTCTCTCCTTCAGGGCGCCCCCCCCCTCCCCTTCCACCTCCCCATCTCTCCTCCATCCCTTTAGCCCCTGCCAGGTGTGCAGGGGCTGCTTCGTCCTGTTGTTCGAAACAAAGATCCATCGCACCATTGTGGTGTGGACACGGCGGCTGCCGCTCTCTCTCCTTCAGGGCGCCCCCCCCCCACCCATCCCTGTGGCCCCTGCCTGGTGTGCAAGGACTGCTTCTTCCTGCTATTCGAGACTGAGGTCCATCGCACCATCGTGGACATTGCTGCTGCCACTCTCCTCACCCGCCGTTCGTCCTTTCAATCCGGTCTCCTCTCCACCCCCTGCTAGGTGTGCAAGGACTGCTTCTTCCTGCTATTCGAGTCTGAGATCCATCGCACCATCGTGGAAAACAAGCTCTTTAAACGAGGGGAGAAGGTGGCCGTGGCTGCGTCAGGGGGCAAGGGTGAGTGAGGGGTCAGTTCAATCCCATTGCCACTCTAACGATAGGCTTCATATGCTCTTCAAACGAGGGTAGAAGGTGGCCGTCGCTGCGTCAAAGGGGAAGAGTGACTACAGGCTTTAGATGTTCTCGTCGTCTTGGGTTAGATGTGCCCGAATCCATATCCCCGATATAAGATATACCTTTCCTATTGCGCACATCTCCCTGTTCAATTCATACCATCACTACACTACAGCCTCCAGCTCTGGCTGAATGTTCATGAATAAGTAAAATATCGTCTTTTCCACCCGCCCTTCCTTCCCCCAGACTCCACCGTTCTCGCCCACATCATGTCTCTCCTCAACGCCCGCCACGACTACGGCCTTCAGCTCTTCCTCCTGTCGATTGACGAGGGCATCACGGGCTATAGGGACGACTCGCTGGAGACAGTCAAGCGCAACGAGAAGCAGGTGTGGGGGGGTTGGGGAGGGGGGGGGAAGAGGAGGTGGGGGGGGAGGAGGAGGTGGGGGGGAGGAGGAGGTGGGGGGGAGGAGGAGGTGGGGGGGAGGAGGAGGTGGGGGGGGAGGAGGAGGTGGGGGGGGAGGAGGAGGTGGGGGGAGAGGAGGAGGTGGGGGGAGAGGAGGAGGGGGGGGGGAGGAGGAGGGGGGGAGGAGGAGGAGGGGGGGGGGAGGAGGAGGGGGGGGGTAGGTAGTATTGGGTCTCCAACTCTTCCTCCTCTTCATCGACGAGGGAATCACGGGGTACAAGGAGAAGGTCAAGAGGAATGAGGACCTCCACAGCACACAGACCATGGTCTGGCAGACCAAGCCTTAAATGCTTCAACTTCTTTCTCCCTCCCTCCCCCATCACCTCGGAAAATTGCAGTATGGAATCCGCTCACGATTCTGCCTTACAAGGACCTCTATGGGTGGACCATGGTCAGAAAGTGAGCTGCCTTAAAGCTCGCAACCCCCTCCTCACCCCTCCATGCTTCCGCTGCCCTTCCATCTCACTGCAGTATGGTGTACCGCTGAGCATTCCCTCATACATGAACCTCTATGCGTGGACCATGGTCAGAAAGTGAGCTGCTTCAAAGCTCGAAATCCCCTCATTCTGCCCTCCACGCTTCCGCCCTTCCATCTCATTGCAGTATGGAATTCCGCTCACGATTCTCTCATACAAGGACCTCTATGAGTGGACCATGGACGAAATAGAGAGCTCCCTCAAAGCTCAACCTCTCTTCCTCTTCTTCCCACCCCCTCTTCCCTTCCCCCTCCCTCCCCCCACCCCTTCAACTCACAGTATGGCATACCACTGACCATCCTTTCCTATAAGGACCTCTACGGGTGGACCATGGACGAGATAGTTGCTTCCATTGGCCGAAAGAACAACTGCACCTTCTGCGGCGTATTCAGGAGGCAGGTGGGTGGGTTAGTTAGTTAAGGTTTTTTTCTTTCTTTCTTTTTTTTAACTTGGTATGCAGAACAACAGGTGTGTTCTTAATCCCGTTCTTCTGGGTCTTTCTGCAACAGGTGAGTTAGGTCTTATTTTCCAAAATCAACAAAATCAGCAAAATCACCAACAGCACCACACCTTCTCCACCTTACACGGGTCTGGCTCTGCTTTTTCTCCCTATCTTCCCCAAACTTCCTCTTATAACACGCTTTAGACAGAGCCGCGTCCCTGCTACCAGCTGACAAGCTAGTCACAGGGCACACTACGGACAATTTTGCCGAAATCGTCTCTTTGTGGATCTGTGGGGTGGGGGTGGGGGGGGGGGGGAGGGTACGGAGAGACTCAACCAGTGTGCCAGCTGTTCAGGGACCACTGTGGCAATGGCTTTGCCGACCCTGCTTGCTTTTCCCGACTTCCCCTCTCCCTCTGATTTCGTCTCTGACAAGGCCCCGTTCCCCGAACACGTCAGGCGCTAGACAGGGGAGCAGCGCTGATGATGTGAGCAGACAAATCAGCAACGGGGCACAAGGCTGGTGATTTCGCCGAAACGGCGCTCCTGAACCAATGAAGATTAATGTTGATTTTGACTCCAACGGTGCTCCTGAACCTGCTGCAGGGAGATGTGACGAGGCGAGGCTCACGTGATGAATGAGGCTCTTCGGAGGCACAATGCCAGTTGCTTAACTGAGACTGCTTTCCCTCCCCCTCTTCCCTCACGTCTCATGCTCAGGACAGGGGAGCAGCGCTGCTAGGCAGCAGACAAATTAGTACGGACAACTTGCCTAGCAGCAGACAAATTAGTACGGACAACTTGCCTAGCAGCAGACAAATTAGTACCGACAACTTGCCTAGCAGCAGACAAGCTGGTCACGGAGCTTAGTGCAGACGCCTTTGCAGAAGCTGATTACCCACCCTTGTTTTTCTGCCCGCCAATCCCCAATCTCAGGCTCCGGACAGGGAGCCGCGCTGCTATCGGCTGACAAGCTGGCCACTGGGCACAACACAGACGACTTTGCTGAAACCGTTCTGCTGAACCCTGTTGAGGGGAGACATGGCGAGGCTGAGTCGATGCGCCGCCATCTCCACTGGGGAGGACTTGGCACTGCCCAGCAGCAAGCCGTTCAAATGATTTGCCAGAACTGACGACTCACTCTTGTGCCTCCCTTCTCATCTCAATCCGCCACTTTCTCTTTCCTACACCACAGGCTCTAGACAGGGGCGCAGCTCTCCTCTCGGCAGACAAGCTTGTGACAGGCCACAACGCCGATGATTTTGCTGAGACTGTCTTGCTGAATCTGCTGCGGGGGGACGTGGCGCGGCTCAGCCGCTGCCCCGCCATCACCACTGGGGAGGACTCGGCACTGCCCAGAAGCAAGCCGTTCAAATACACCTACGAGAAAGAGATTGTCATATATCCGCCCCACAGTTCTCAAAACCCCCTCACTGCTTCACTCCACACTACCCGGAAGCAAGCCATTCATATGCACCTACGAGAAAGAGATCGTCATATATCCACCCCAGATCTCAAATCCTCGGACTGCCTGGCCTACTCAACTCTTATGCGTATTTGCTTGAGGCTTCTTAAAGGGTGTGCTTTGTTCTTACTTTGTTTGTTCATCCAGCAAGTGCGTAGAGTACTCCCTTTATCCGAGTTTCCTTTTGACGCAGAGTTCCTTAACTCCTCTCCTCCTGTCTGCTCCACTCCTGCCCTCCCTTCCCCCCTCCTCCCCTCTCCTCTCCTTCTTTTCTCCTCCTTCACTTTTCACGCTCTCTTCAATGCTTCTTTTGCCGCTTTTTGAGTCGACTCGAAAATCGACTCATTACACACAATGCTTCTTTTGCCGCCTCCTTTCCTCTCCACTTGACCCCTCTCCCTATGCGGCGCTCTCCCTCCCTTCCCCCCTCCCCCCTGCTCTACCACCTGTTGCATCTGTGCATCACGCCTTCACACCCTTGCACCTGTTTGATTGGAACATCAATGTGCAATCAGCACGTACGCGCATTTCAAGAAGCTGGATTACTTTTCCACTGAATGTGAGATCTCGTGTCGTGTTGCTGTTGTCCGTGTCGTTGACACTCTTGCACATCCTTGTTATTGACATCCTTGTCATTGACATCCTTGTTATTGACATCCTTGTTATTGACATCCTTGCCATTGACATCCTTGTTATTGACATCCTTGTTATTGACATCCTTGTTATTGACATCCTAGTAATTGACATCCTTGTTATTGACATCCTTGTTATTGGCATCCTTGTTATTGACATCCTTGTTGCAGCCGCAAACGCGTGTTCCACGACTTGCTAGGCTTTCTTTCTTTATTTTCCCCCCCTTTTTTTTTGCTTTCCTTCATTGGTCGAACAGGGGGGTGTGTGCACTCTATCTATCGACTCCTCCATTCCTCCCTCGTCTTCCTCACATCCACTTTGTGTCCAAACCTGCTCACTTTCTCCATACGGCTTCCGACATGTTTCCTCCTCTTCCTGAACTCCTCCTCCATGCGTGAGGAGTCTATTTTTTAGGCGCCTCAAAAATAGACTCCCGGCACAGTATGCTCACTCTTTATAATATAATATTTCCTATGTGTTTGCCTACAACGCCTCACCCCCCCCCCCCCCCTCCCCCCGTCCATCTCTCCTCCCCCCTGCTCCCCTTTCCGGTCTTCCCAGGCATCTACTCTCCAGACACACATTGTGGCTTTGTTTGAGGCACTGCAACAAACCCCCCACTTTGTGCATTTTGTGACTTGTTCCCCCCCACAGGCATTTACTCTCCAGACGCCTACCGTGGCTTTGCAAGAGAATTCATAAAAGATCTAGAGGCCATACGGTAACGGAATTATTTTCTTCTAGTAGATTCCAGTGGAGGCTCTAAGGTCGTGGTGGTGTGAGCAGGTTTTTTTTTGTCTTTCCTTTCTTCTTTACAAAGTCTCAGGTTTGACTATGCTCTTCTTTATATTGTTTTTTACTAAGCTTTTCTTCTTTATATGCTCCTCATTTGTCAAAATGCTTTTCACTCCATGTGTAACCAGGCCTCGAGCCATCCTAGACATTATCACATCAGCAGAGCAGTTCAGATTCCAGGCTGATGTCAAGATGCCAACTCAGCGTACATGTGACCGGTGCGGTTACATCTCCAGCCAGGTACAGTTACGACTGGGCGCACATGTAATGGACAAGGCTACAGATTGTGGAGTATGTCTTGTTCTGCACATTCAGTTGTGTGATCAGATGCATTCCTCATATGCATTTACAGATGCATTTCTCATATGCATTCACAGATGCATTTACAGATGCATTTGCAGCAAGCAGCACCCCCCCTTGCATTGTGTGTGTGCTGCTGAGATGCCGTGAATGGCCGCCCCTCTGCCCTTTCGCTCAACAGGAGCTCTGCAAGGCGGGTGTGTTTCTAAATGGCTTGAATCACAATGACTTTCGTTGACTTGTGAGAGGGGTGTTTTGCGTCGTTCTAAATGCACCTAATTTTCCCCGCCTCCTCTCAACAGGAGCTCTGCAAGGCGTGCATGCTCGTGAAGGTTTTGAACCAAAATGGCTCACGCTGACTTGTGAGTCTCCTCCCCCCCCTCTCCCTCTCCCCCCCGCACCCCCGCACCCCCCCCATACCAGGAGCGGTGCAAGGTGTGTGTGCTACTGGAGGGTTTCAACCACGGTTTGCCGCGTTGGAGTGGCCTGCACTCGGGCTGCTGTTGCTCTTAAGTTTCTTCCCCTCCCCCCTCAACAGGAGCTGTGCAAAGCGTGTGTGTTACTGGAGGGTTTGAACCGCGGCTTGCCTCGGCTCGGAGTGGCTCGCACTCGCAGGAAGGACGGGCAATATGCCTCTCCAGCTGTTACCGACGGTGCTGCAGCTGCAGCTCTGCCTGCTAACGCCAAGCATGCCGTTGTTGCTCCTCCTCCTGGTGCTGCTGGTGCGCCTCTTGCTGCTGTTGTCGATTCCTCTTCAGCAGCTGTTGATGCTCCTGCTGCAACTGCTGTTTAGGTTGCAACTGCTGACTGCCTGCTCTTGTGACTCTCTGTCGTGAGAAGAGAATAAGAGAGGGTTAGAGAGAGGAGAGTACAGGGTTCAAGTATTGGGGCTGTCCCCTCTGTCAAACATATGCATAACTCATGTTTGTATAGACTGTATAGGGTCGACTCTTAGAGGGTACAACATCTTAGGTATATACCCTTGTACTCTCTCTCTCTTCACTAATTCATTCAGTTCTAAGATGGTATCAGCAGTAGGTAGGTCCCACCGCCCGCCCACGCTTCCGCCCTAGGACCTACCCTCGTCCGTCCTAGCCGCGCCCGTCCGTCGCGCCCCTCCTGGGCTCCTTTCGCGCCTCCTAGCCCCGTCGCGCCCCCTGGGCCTCGTCGCGCCCCCCCTAGGACCCGTCGCGCCCCCTAGGACCCGTCGCGCCCCCCTGGGACCCGTCGCGCCCCCTAGGACCCGTCGCGCCCCCCTGGGACCCGTCGCGCCCCCCTAGGACCCGTCGCGCCCCCCTAGGACCCGTCGCGCCCCCCTAGGACCCGTTGCGCCCCCCTAGGACCCGTCGCGCCCCCTAGGACCCGTCGCGCCCCTCCTGGGCCCCGTTCGTGCCTCCTGGCCCCGTCGCGCGCCTCCTGGGCCCCGTCGCGCCTCCTAGCCCGTCGCGCCTCTCCTGGGCCCCTTCTGCCTCCTAGGACCCGTCGCGCCCGTCGTAGCCGGCCCCGAAGGGCGTCCCCCCAGGTCGTCGCGGCTTGCTTGTCTCGGTCGCTCACTCACCCGTCGCTGCTGTGGCACCACCGCCTAGCTCACCCTGCACTCCCGCGTCTGCGTCACATGTCCCAGCACGGTCTTGTCCTCACCTCCTCTGTGTGACTACTTTCGTGCTGCTCGTCCTCTTGTTCCTCTGGTCCTTGCCTCTCTCGTTACGGACCCGTGTGTTCCTGTCTCGAGTCTTTCCGCGCTTGTCGTTGCCGTCGCTGACTTCGCCTCTACCCACCGCCTTGACTATGCCACCGCTCTTGTCTCTGACCCTGCCCATCCTCTGTCCATCAGGGGTGGTCCTGCCCTTGGCAATGACGTCCTGGAGGACCGGCAGTACGAGCTTGCTTTCCTTGCCGAGGTCACGCCTCATCTCTGCTCCATGCTGCTAGTCCGTGAGGGTGACCCAGACGCCTTTGACATCCCGACCCCTCGCACATACGGTGAGGCGACCTCGGGACCCTAGGCCTCTTAGTGGATAGGTGCCATGGACGCAGAAATGGCATCTTGGAGATCCAATGGCACCTACGTCGACGCAGTTCCCCCACCTGGGGTGAACGTGGTCGATGGCTGGTGGCTCTTCAAGGTGAAGCGCCCCCTTAGAGAGCCGTCGGTGTTCAAGGCGCGCTACATTGCTAGAGGCTTCAATCAGTGCGAGGGTGTTGACTTCTTCCAGACCTTCGCCCCGACCTCGAAGATGACTTCTCTTCTGGCGCTGCTATACGTAGCAGCACAACGTGACTACGAGCTGCACTCTCTCGACTTCTCGACAGCGTTTCTTCAGGGCAGTCTGCACGAGCAGGTCTACCTGCGTCGTCCGCCTGGCTTCACCGGCACCTTCGCCCTCGGGACCTAGTGGCTCCTCCGACACCCGATTTACGGCCAGCGGCAGGCGCCGCGCAAGTGGCACGACACGCTGCGTGCTACGTTGGCTGACCTGCAGTTCTTCCCGTCGTCTGCAGACCCTTCGCTCTTCGTTCGTGTTGGCCAGACCCCGTTCTACATCCTTGTCTACGTTGACGACCTGGTCTTTGCTACAGCAGGGGCCCAGGAGGGGCGGCTAGAGAACGAGGGGATGTGCAGGTCTGTAAGAGAGCCGGAGGGGACCACCGGACAAGGAAGGGTAGTGGAGCTACGTGCAACTATCGGTCCTGAGGAGGGGTCTGCAAGCGCGACATCGGCAGGGGCGGCAAGCGCGTGAGTGAATTGTGGTCGCGGAAGAAGCAGGCAGACGCACCAAAGTCGAGCGTGAAGAAGAGCAAAGCGGTAGCGGCAGCCGGTGGAGGGGCTAGTGTGGAGCCTAGGCTAAACAAGGCAGACGGTCGTACGCCTGACACAGCAGGGGAGCCTAAACTACACACAGTGGACACACCTACGCTAGGCAACACCGAGTAATAGGGTTCAATCATACTAGAGTCATCAGCATACATGAGAGACATGGCATTCCTAATCTGATCCACGTCAAGCTCAAAGACCGGCACACGACGGCGAGCCAGGGCGTACCAGTTCGGAAGGTCTGACGCAAGACCGAAGCTGTGGCAGAACAAGTCGTCCAGGCAGCGGTAGCAGCAGTCGGCGGTGTGGCTGAACCGGAGGCAGACAGTGCCACGTCGAGGGCCGGTCCGAAGCTGGTACTGGCAAGAGACCGCGCTGGAGCTGCCACCCAACACGGAGCTGTGCCCGCCCCCCCCACGACCACTGCCACTAGCACCTCCATTCCACCAAGACGGTGGAGGTCCCCACGTCAATTGCTGCTGTTGTGATGACTGCTGCAGCGGCTGCGGCTGGTGCGGCTGCCTAGTCTGTTGTTGCTGCTGCTGAGGCTGCGTCTGCTGCTGCGGCTGCTTTGGGGCACCAGCCCCGGTCCCCTCGTCTGAACCACCATCCCCGCCCTCACCGCCGCCACCCTCCCCACCTCCACCCCCCTTCCCCCCACAACGCCCCCCCTTGGAGCGGCGACCCCTACACGGACGCTTCTGCGCTGAGGCCGCAGCAGCAGTCTCAGCTATAGCAGTAGAGACATCAGAGTAAGTGCATTGGGAGGGAGCACAGCCTTGAAAGGTAGGCACCGCCGCAGTACCACTAGGCTGAGCGATACTGCGCTGGCGGGTCTCTATCTCAGACAGGGTGGTGGCAAAGGCGGTGAGGGTGAGGTCACCCGGGTGCTGACTAAGGAAGTGGTTGCGGGCTGTGGCTAGGCGGTCAAGGAGGCGTGTGGCGATGAGATAAAGGGTAGCGCAGAACGGCGACGGAAAGGTTGTGAGCTGTGCCTCAGTGCTAGGGGCTCGGTAGATTGTCTCAAGCGCGCGGAGGTGAGCGGCAAAGTCGGCAACAATGGGGAAGGACGCAAGATCAGAGAACAGCATGGGAAGGATCAGGCATCCAGTAGAGGCAGTGGCGGGGGTAGAATAGCGCGCAATGACAGCATCTAAGAAAGCATGGGCGTTCGCTACACTGGTAAAGGGGGGACGCTTAGATAGCAGGAGCGCGTGGCTGATAGCAAGCTGTGCGACGGCGTCGCACGAGTCCCAGATGGCACGGGCAAGCGTAGCAGCGGAAAAAGCCCCACGCTCAGCAGCGGTGGGGGCATCAGGGAAGGCAGCAGGCCATCAACATGAACAGCCAGGGAGTGACCGTCCTGGCGCTGACCTGTAAGGTGACGCCGAAGGTTGATCAGGCACGCCTCAAAGTCGAGTGCCTGACCCTCCGTGTCCAGACGAAGCTGTGACTCCGCCATCGCCACTACTACAGCTTCTGACGGCCGCTGACAGAGGGAGGAGGAAAGGTGAAGGAAGCGGTGGAGAGTGGTGAGGTGCGGTGGAGAGCGGTGGTGTGCGGTGAAGAGCGGTGGAGTGTGGTGAAGTGTAGTGGAGTGCGGTGTAGTATGGTGGAGTGCAGTGGAGTGCGGTGGAGAGGGGTGGAGAGCGGTGGAGACAGCTGGCAGGGGAGCCGGCGCTGAAGGGAGCCAAGGCTGGTGGGTCGGCGCTACGGCTCGGCGGCCCGCCGGCTGGCCGCTGAAGTGGGGGCCGGCTAAGCAGGAGCCGGCTGGCTGAGAGCCGACGGGGCGCACAGACAGGCGGGGCGCTGAGGTGCCAGCAGGGCGCAAACAGGGCCGACGGGGCGCTAACGGGCCGGCGGGGCGCACGGGGCTAGCGGGGCGCTATGGGGCCAGCCGGGCACGATGGGGCCAGCCGGTCGCTAACGGGGCCAACGGGGCACTAACGGGGCCGGCAGGGCACTAACGGGCCAGCAGGGCGAGCAGGGCCAGTGGGGCGCACGGGGCCAACGAGGTGGTAACGGGGCCAACGGGGCGCACGAGGCCAGAGGGTGCTAACTAGCCGACAGGGCGCATGGAGCCAGAGTGTGTTAACGGGGCCGGCTGGGCGAGCAGGGCCAGTGGGGCGCGCGGGGCCGGCGGGGCGCTAATGGGGCCGGTAGGGCGCTAACGGGCCGGCGGGGCGCTAACAGGCGGCGAGGCGAGCAGGGCCAGAGGGGCGCATAAGGCCGACGGGGCGCTAACGTGGCCAACGGGGCGCACGGGGCCAGAGGGCGCTAACGGGGCCGGCATGGTGCTAACAGGGCTAGAGGGCGCACGGGGCCAGAGGGCACTAACGGGCCCAATAGGGCGCTAACGGGCCGACGGGGCGCTAAGGGGCACGAGGGCACTAACGGGGCCGGCAGGGCGCTATCGGGGCTGCTGGGGCGCTAAGGGACCCATAGGGCGCTAACGGGCCCACGGGACGAACGTGGCCGATGGGGCGCACGAGACCGACGGGGCGCTAAGGGGCGGCTAGGAACGGGCAGCTAGGGCTAGGACGAGAGCGGAAGCGCGGGTGTGCGGGGAGGACCTAACCTAGCGCGTGATACCATGTCAGAATAGAAAAGTTTACTAGAATGAGGCAAATAGGTTGGTTTTGTCTAAGGGGTTGTGCCCTCTGAGAGCATGCACCTATCTAGCCTATTATGACATGTACAAATATGTTTGACATCCTCCCCCCCATCCATCGAGCTGAAACGGGGGGAGGGGGGAAGCGAAACAGAGGGGAGGGGGGAATCCGAAACGGAGGGGAAGGGGGGATCGAAACAGAGGGGAGGGGAAAAGCAAAGGGTAATTTGCTGACAGATCAACAACTTTGAGCTGCTGATCTGTACGGTTACGATTTGTTCTTGCAACCTAGAAATTGTTAAGTTGTCGAGAGAATGATGAGCTAAGGGAAAATGTAGAGGGTTACAAAGGTTCCGTAAGACTGTACCCTCTAAGAACTGACCTAACTAAGGCTATACAGTGACGGAAACAAGTGTCTAGATGTTTTGCATTAATTAGGGTTTTTGGGCTTCCGAATATTATTTCCGAACAGTCGCGACTTCTTTGACTGCTGCTCCGTGACGAGACCTACAGATCCTAGCGTGATTCTAATAGTGCAAGGGTGCACATTCA